AATGTATGCTCATTTGATCGCATTTTTAAAAACGTACCAATAGATGGCCCACCCTGTATATATATATATATATAAAAAGACTCCGTTCTAATAATACTAATGATCAAGAGCTAAAATCTGGGTAACATATCTTCAAGTTTCAGCGTTAATTGATTCAGATCGTCGATATTGTTTTCACAAAAGAGAATGACTTCAAACTGAAAGAAACATACCGGAAGGCATAACAGTGTTAGGTAACGTTGTGCGTCTCACTATGCTGCCGTTGTTGGCTGTTTCCGGCAGCACCTGGGAAAAGAGCGGTTGCGCGAACGGCGTGGCCGGCGGCGGCGGTTCCCTCAGCATTCGTATCTTCTGTATCATTTCCCGTATCTCGTAGCGTAGGATGCCGAGGAAGCAGAGCTTGGCGAAGGCGATGACGCAGAAACCTAGGACAAACAGTAGGTCCGCCGTCTTCCTGAGCCAGCGTACGAGCGTCTCCTCGCAGCCGCGCATGTACGGGTTCTGACAGGGCTCGCTGACGTTAACGCTGGGCTCGCAGCAGGTCAATGGCAAGTTGTCACGATGATTGAAATCCTTGGGTCCGGTCACCCCGCAGCACATGAACTCCCGCTGAAGTCGATCCCATTGTTCGCTAAATCGCATCTCCTTGTCATAGTCCACCTGCGGGCAAGAAATCGTCACCTCGAGACGTAGTACGGTTTGCGTTAACACTATAACAGCAGCTGTACCGTTTGACCAATCTGACAGTTCTTTCTTTTCCAGGTAATTTAGATTTGCACGTGAAGCTTTGGATTTTTCATAAATAATCATAATTAATTGCAAGCAGTTTTACTTCTATCGTGACAACTCTGCCTTGTAAAAATCCAGATTTATCTTGAATCGCGATTGGATTAATTTAAACCCGCAGTTCTAATGTTAATTTATCAGAAACGGAGGCTCCAACATTGAGATTCTGTAACTTTTAGCATATTGCATTATTATAACGCAGATATTATATATGATAAAAAATATTTACGCAACGATACCGACACTGTCGGTTAAGAGTTAGAAGCCCAGAGTTGATCTTGATCAAAAAAGCGAAAAGTCATATGAATTCTTTTTCACGCTGTATATTGGTGCAAATTGATTTCTACGTCATCATTAAGGTGAAAACCCCCTGCTTGTAGTAAATGACAATACAAGTTAATCTATAAATAGCTATTCCCTAGTCGACGAACCGAAGAGTTTTTTGGTACATCTCATAGATCTATGGAATACTAACTTTAACGTGCAAGAAACTAATCTATTTCGATACACAGAACGAGAGAAAAAGCTTATATGTTTTTCCGCTTCTGACGTAATGGCCAGCAAATAGGCTTATACCCTGATTCTACACTCTTAATGACAGTATCGGTACCGTTATATTGTCATCGCGCAGATATACACGGTAAAAAAGCTGCGCCAACAACAATATAACGATACCGAACTTAAAAGTTACAGAATCGGGGGGTACAGAAACCCTCGAATCAAAAGGGGGAACCAAATCGATGGCGCACCTGCAAACGTAGTTTGAGCGTGGGTCTGAGGTCGGCGCGCATTTTCTCGAAACGGAAGATCCAGGCGACGCCGACGACGGCGTCGCCGAACAGCAGTATCAGCAGTAATATCCAATAGACGTGGAGCAACCGGGCGCTGAGCCGTCTGGCGGCGATGCAACCGAGTAATTGCACCAGGCCCAACTGCGCCGTCAGTGCCAGATAGCCGTAGAGCGCGGTGGGGTCGTAGACGCGAGGTACACCCGGCACCACGTGCCGACGTGGGTCGCCGGTGAACAGGAGAGTCTGCGACACCGCGGCGGCAAAGCCGATCGCGCTACCGAACAGCACCAGGTTACAGGCGTAGATCCAGAGGCGGTAATATCGCATCGCGACGTCCTCACCACCGTCGGCGAGTCGTTGGGACGTCACCGACGACGGCGCCTCGTCGGCGACGTGATCGCGGCTGTTACTCCTCCGGTCACCTCTTTTGAAGACGTTGTTGTTGTTGACGTTATTGTTGTTGTTGTTATTGTTGTTATTGTTATTGTTCGTAGTAGTCGTGGTGTTGGTATCGGTCGAGTGCCGATGCTCCTCACGGTCGTCCAGCAGAAAGAGAAAGGGCGGCTTCGCGCTGCAGTCCTTCGTCGCTGTCTTTTGGCTGTGCGTCGACTGCGGGGTGACTGAACGTTGCAGCAGCATCACCGTCATACTATCGTGCCACCCTGGTGTGCGTGTCCTCGTCGTAAGGATTGTATCCCGCGGACGCGGGGGGTTAAATAGGAGAGACGGGCCAGCGCGTTGCACCGTTGGTGGTGGTGGCCGCCGCCGTCGTCGCCGCCGCCGCCGCCGCCGCCGCCGTCGCCGCCGCCGCGGTATTACGCGAGGAGGGTGGTGGCTAGAGGTGGAGACCGATCCTCTTTACTCGTGACCGGCGCGAGTCACGCGAGCCACGTCGTGCTGCATCGCCGCACCGGAAGGTCGTTCGTGCTAACATTCATGGTTGTCCCCCTCGTGTCACGCGCACCTGTCGTCGTTCACCGCAATGGCGGTCTCCGGTATTCCAGCAACCGGAACGATTAACGTAAGGATTCTCCTGCGCAGAAAAACAGAAGTACATAAAAAATATATATATGAGAGACATATTCCTAACAGACACACGTCCTTGAACGTATCTTGCGCTAGTCGAACATTTTTTGAAAATTTTTTAGGATCCAAAGCTTTTTAAAAGATTTGATCTTCGATCTTGGATCTTCCTCCGCTTGTTCACCATGCCGCGCAATTTGAAAATCTCTCTCTCTCTCGCGCTCTCTCTCTCTCTCTCTCTCTCTCTCTCTCTCTCTCTCTCTCTCTCTCTCTTTCTCTCTCTCTTTATCCGTGGATGACTCGATCTAAAAGGGGATTTGCGGAAGGAGGGAGGAAGGTGCGGGAATTCAACGGAATTCAACGTGCGTGCGTTTCTAAGTTGAAGCCAACGGCGGGAGGAGGCTAGCATGCACCTCGGCGGATTGTATTTCTTTCTGACAGTTGTAGCGTGCGATAGGCGATTCTATTTATCGATCCTCCGCCGCCTAGCTCTATGTAGCTTCTCCGAGGAGGGACAGAGATAAATCGTGCGAGATAGAGAGAGGATATGCGCCTGAGTGAGTATATTGGCACGAAGCGTCGCCGGCTCGGCGAGCCATCGGAAGAACCGCAGAGACAACCCTATCTGACGAATTGCGAAGAGGCATATATACAATCGCGACGAGGCAGGGCTGAATAAAGGGGATGAAATATCAGAGGGATAATTTCGAAAGTAGGGAAACAAAGTGTAAAGAAGAAAGGAAAATTCTTTAAATTCTTCGAAGTGGAATTTCACTCTAAAGAGTTTTCACTCTTTTAAGACTGAGATTCCACTTCAGAGAATTAGAGAGTTTCAGTGACAGAATTTTCTAAATTTTCTAAAGTAATATTTTTCTTTTTTCAAGATTAACAAAATTATTACTCTTTGAAAAGTGAAAGTTCACTTTTTAGAGTGAGATTTCACTTGAAAGAATTTAAAGAGGAGAAAAAATCGCCGCTTTTTTCGTAATACATACGAAATCTCAGTAAAGATTTTCTACATGGGGGATACACGGATCGTCCCGAGATTATCCTCGTCAGGGTCGCGAACACGGACATACGTCGGCTCGGCCAGGGCAATGCGCCAAAGTATGCTCTCGTTTTCGTGCATCGGCATTCGCATTGCATGCTGCATGCATGCATGTGGACAGGTCGCCACGAGTATATGCGAGTAATGCGAGTGGCGCATTGTAATGAAAACACGGAAGAGCGAGTGAACGGTAAGGGCTCATCGATCGTTTAAACCTTGCGCGTTAGCGCGCGCTCCACATTGATACACGACTCG